AGTTAAAATAGGGATATACAAAAGAATGAGATCAAAGCAAGTCCAAAATTCAGCCAGGCAAACAATAAATCCTGTAGTTCTATCTCCAGCATTCCCAATAATGTGTGACAAGATATAAATGCCAGAGGCTTCAGTGGTTCTGTCTTTGTCTTTTGGTGACTGTAGCTCCCACAACTTTAACTGACTCTGTTCCTGTCTTGCAGTTTTCCTTAGACAACCACATTCTGGTTTCTCCAAACTTCAGAGGTCTCCAATGCATTTTCAGCTTTACACTCACAGTTCACTCACTGACTTCTTAGGAGCACACTGTCTGGCCTCCCAGGCCTTCTGAAATCCAGATGGAAGTCTTCCTGACCTCACAACTCTTGTATTCCGCACCCACCTAAAATTAGCAACAGGTTGTGGCCAAGATCTGTGACCAGTTATACGAGTAGTCAGGGTTCTTTCTCACTTGATAGGAAGGACTGAGTGCCTGTATTGCTGAGCATCTGAATCCAATCCCAGGTAAGGAATTCTCTAGGCCACTGCCATTCTAGAACATGGTGTTCTAGGGGTTTCTTCTCAAAGCAAAATCTATCCCCTTTGCAACTCTGAGTTCGTAAAATCTGGTATTCTGATGGTTTTTATGTGGTACTCAGCCCATTTTTCTATTGTATTCTTTTGAAATAGTTGGCTTTTTCTTGCTAGTTTTTTCAGTGATAAATTTCTCCTTTGCTACATCTTTGCAGGCTAACACTTCACTAGGGCTTCCCTGCTGGCCAAACTTACAACAATTTGAATCATTTTGCTGGGCTCTTTGTTCTTCATTCTCAACATAAATCTAGCTAAAACTGTCCAGTGGTAGCTATGCAATGGCCTCAATAATAGACTGCTTTGAAATTTGTTTTATAAGATTAATTAGTCTGCTTCCTTTAATCTCAGTCTTAGGCAAAGTCTCTGGACAGAAGAAAAATGCAGGCAAAATTTCTGCCAAAGCATAAAACATATGTTCTGGGGTTCAACAGCCAATGCAGTCCTTCTTGGCAGAAACCTGCCAAATCTGGTCTTTAACAGCAGAATTTCTATCATCATTTTAGTCTTTGGAGCTCTGACCAGAATCTCCCAACTTAACCTTTCAAAACACTCCATAAACCAACTCTAAATGCTCTTGAACCACCTGGTCAGGTATCATGACAGTAATAGCCCTACCTCTCTGGTATGAAATTTTATGTTGGTTATTTTTCTCATTGCTGAGGTAAAATATCTGACACCCAATGTTAAAAGAGGAAGGGCTTATTTAGCTTACAGTTTGTAGAGGTTTCAGTCCTTAACTGGCTGTCTTCAAGGCAGGGTGGCATGTCTGAAGGTCATTGCAGAGGAAAAACTACCAGAGCAAGTAGGCAGGAAAGAGCACATTACATTCTTTCTGCCCCATATAGTTTATCTAGGCTACTCACTCAAGGATGGGTATAGCACTCATACCCTCAAACCTAACCAGAATTATGCCAAACTGATCAGTGGACTGATTTAGTAATCACACACCCTTGATCCAATAGCACACATTCTAGATCCAGTCACCTCTGAAAAGCTCCTTCTATGAATGATGATGCAGAAGCCATAACAGATACTGAATCTAATTTACTTTGAAAATCAGAGTATCCTACATAGCAGTGATATATTTTTTGATAATTGTTCTTAGAAATGTCTTTGCTTTTTATCCTTATGTATGTTTTGAATTTTTATCTGTGTACCAACAGCGAGCCTATGAAAGCAATTTAGGTAATCTCAGGTCTCTCTTGAGTTTAAACATGCTCTGTTCATGTTCACCTTTTAATTTGCTCTGGATAGGTAATCATTTTTAAATATTCTAATTTTAATTACTGATTTTACTTTCAAAAAGGGAAAATACAAAATTAAAATGAGAAAAATCCCCTGGGGGTTACTTCAAGAGGTGAATTAGAGGAGAAAGACTTTTTATAATGGGAAGAGATCTAACAGTAATGCCTTGTGATACTCAATCTCTCCTCTGTGATGAGAAGCAGCATTCAGTAGAAAATTATGCCTCTGATATTTGGAGTGCATGATCCTCTTTCCCCACCCCATTTCTTGCAGAAATTACTCTAGAAATATGCACAGAGATGTCTATCATGGAAATCAGTTTTGGGAATAAGTACATATACTGTACTAAAAGCTGAAATCAACTTCAGTCACCATCAAAGACTTCCTCTGGGACTGTTAAGTTTTCAATATACCCGAGTTTTCAAATAATTGCTTCAGACAGATTCTCCTAGCACAGTTCTCTTACTCTACTATCTTCCTAGAATTTTCTTCTGGTGGAAAAAACCATGTATGCAAAGTTTTGGCCTACTTCATAAGTGACAAAAAGTAGACACATTTTTCATATTAAAAAATGCTTATATGTAATTTAAAACCAGCAATAAAATATGATAAATGAAGTACCTACCATTCAAGGCAAACTAAATACATTATTAAATATTTATAGAGTTTTTATTTAACAAGGTTTTTGAAAGTACTACCAAGATAATTAATTAAGGCTAGTAATTGTTAGATATAAAAATCAGAACAAATTTGATTGATGGAATCCTGCATATGAGAAAAATACTAGAATTAGGTTTATTCTTGTAGTGCTGCCTTAAAGATATCATAGAAGAATTTAGCATAAGGAATAAATGTTTATTTCCTCATTTTTCTGCAGTTGAGTCCAAGATCAATTTATCAGCAGGTTATTTCTTCTGAAGAAAGGCCTCTGTTGCGTGATTATGAATGGCTCTTCTATCAGAGTTGCCATATAGGCTTCATTATGGGTCTATGACCTAGTGTTCATTTATAAAAATGCCAGTTATATGGAATTAAATACACTTATATGAGTTTGTTTTACTTAATCACCTCTTTAAACATCCTATTTCCATCAAAATTTGAAGTAGGATTTCAATTTATGAGGTTTAGGGGACATAGTTTAGGCTATTACAGAATTTTATAATTTCAGTGGAGACATATCTCAAAATTTTAAAATGCAATATAGGAGAGACCACATCTAGAAAAGAATGTAGTGGAACCTTAGGCAAGAGTCATGGAACTGGCCCTAAATTCCCACTTTAGAAACTAGAGAGAAATCATGGGACCTTGCAAGAAAGCAGTTTTTGTTTTCTTTTTGGGAAGGAACAAGTTGCACTCTAAAACATATTTACTTTTACTCTCCAGTCTATGGTCTTATACAAAATGATATTAGCCCCCACACTTTTCCAATATTAACTTGTACTGAGCAAGTGGTTTGAGAAATTATTTTAAGTAGTGTCTTTGCAATTAACATGTATCAGTATTTGTATAAAAGTCAAACTACCTTTAATTTTGTACTGTCTTAGCTTTCACTGGGGGGAATCTACGTATAAACTAAAATGATAAATCTGAAAATAGCATAGTAATACAAGTTAAGTTGTAGAATAAATTCATATATTTGGCATCCATCAAGTGAAAAGCATTTGCTTCTTATTTCTTATTCTTTCTATTTATGTGTACCTTTAAAGCCTCCTCCCTGTACATTAGAAGAAGCACATGCCTTATGCCAATCACTAGTGAAACTGGAGGTTTTTCATTGTTAGACTCCATGGCTCCCAGGCTTTACTTTTCCTCTGTTGCTCTAAATATCTGACTTGGTTTGCAGTCCTTCAAGAATGCCTACCAGTCACACTGGCTTTCCAGAAATTTCTCTGTTAAGTCCATTGCGGTAATTAAAACTCAACCTTCAGACTACCCACACTCTCAGGGCCTTGAAGATAATCATTCCAGGACATCTTATTTGAGCTTTTCACTACTGATTACTAGAGGGAAAGGAAGACAGAGTGGTTTTGTTTTCTCACTTCCTTATCTCTGGTCCCAGATCTATAGCTGCTTTCCAAATCCAATATATTTCTGATAGCACTGATAAGATTTACTTGAGCAAAAATATCAAGTACGTCAGCCACAGGTAACTCCTTAAAGTGTTTACATTAACCATAATTCAAGCATAAAGTATTTAGTTGCTCAGCTTTCACAGAAAATAAGTGAATCCTGATCAAAATGTATTGAGGTACTCCATATCTAAAACAGAGTTCACCAACTACAATTGCTCATTTCTAGTGAAATATCTTCATTTTAATAAAACAAAGTGTTACAAAAATAAATGTTACAAATTACATGCAATAAAAAATTACTGCATATAGAAATTTCAAATTGAAATGCATGTTGTCAATGGCTTAATTTTTTTTTAATCTAAAAGAGAATAAAAGCAAGCAAAATAAAACAGAACAATGCCAATCATAACAAACCAGTGTGACACAGGACTTAAAAACTATATGAAATCAATAATAGCTACCATAATGCCTCTTACTGTCTTCAAAACAGCTATAGATATTTTTGGACATAGTAGAAATTAAAAACTTCAACACAAAACAAGAGTAAATTCAAAATGGCTATCACAATATATCTTGCTAACCTCTAAATAGTTGTCCATCCCATCAGATATAACAAAATCAAAAAAAAAAAAAAAACCAGAATAAAACCTAACCCAACAAAACAATGTAAATAATGCAGGATTTCTAAACAAGAGGATAGGAAGTTAACAATGGCTACCACCTTCAAGAGATGCCCCATAGATGCCACACTGGGTACCTTTATCCCCTGAATAGATGATCAGACCACCAGTCCCAGACTTTCAATGTCAGTGAAACACCAAACACAAGTATCGAATGGCATGTTAACTCAATAGCTATCATCACAGCCTGTGTTTCTCTGGATCAGCCAGCCGCTTATGGAAGGCTTAGGAAGGGTCTGGCTGTTTCCTGGTGGTGGCTGTCCACACATGGCGCTGGTTCACAGGGGTGGGGTGGGGTTTGTTTCTTGTTGATTTCATGTTCCCCTGCAGTACATGAAAGGGGTCTGGGTCATGGGGAAAGGCTAGGGTCTGGCTGTCTCCCAGACAGTGGTGGCCCAAGCATGCCACTTGTTTGTGATGGGGGCTTTTGTCCAATGCGTCAGACCACACTGGCTAATGCTTATTTAGATCAACAGTGTCAACCTCATAGGGGAAAAGATATATCATCAGCTGAATCAAATTTTGAATGGTACTTCATTTGGAAAATTGCTGAAATGTTTTATTCCATTTAAAATGGTTTAAGTACATTTATTGGTGTCTCCTCTCTTAGTGAAAAACATGGATTAGCTCCCCAAAGTCCTTGAAAAGTAATGGGAACAGGCAAACTGGGAAAGTAAACCAGAACTCAAGGACTGATTTGGTGAGTTTCCTGACCTGTTTATTTTTGTTCCTCTTTTCTTTCCATATCTGCTATCCTTAAGTCAAAAGCATCCTGCCACGGTGGACTAGGTACCAACGCGATTCTCCAAGAGGAGCTCTCCCTTTCCAGTCTGGAGATAAAAAAGCAGGAGAGAAAATGAGAAAAAGTCCACAAATGTAATATTTTATGTGTCTCCTGTCTTCATTAGTTATGAAACTAGGCTGCTATGATGACGGCAATGAAATTTACGTTTTCTGTAGTTTGATATCTGCTTTCTTATTATCATTTAATTTGAAAAATTTTCTAGTTTTATTTAACCTGTGGACTTTTTAGGAGTATGCCACTGAAACTTTAAATAATTGAAACTTTTCTAGTAACTTTTATTATTGATTACCCATGTAATTATAACTTGGTGTAATAAAATAGCAGTATTTCAATTATTTGAAGTGTATTAACACTTACATTTAGGGCCTAGCATGTGCTATAATGATGAATTTTTAGGTGTTCTTAGAAAGAACGTTTATTTTCTAATGAGTTGAATACTATACTTGATCAAAATCAGTTTAGTCAAAGTAGTTGATATTCTAGTTAGAATAATATATGTCTTTATAGTCTGTCAATTTCTGAAATTTCCAGTGCCATTACAGAGCTGGTAAGACTGCTGTTTTGTGTCATCTGCATTGCTTTCTGTGCAGTGTAGTATTAAGGGCATATACATTTATGATTGTGACTCTCTTAACATTATCTTTTTTGTAATTTTAAATTTTTCCTGATGATCTCTTGTAGTTGCTTTTTATTGATACTTACTTTATCTGTCATGCCGGCATGGGTTTTCCTATGTATCGCGTAGTTTTCCTTATCATTACACTTTGAACCTGTTTCATTAAACTTAAAATGTGTGTATTCTTTTTTTTTTTTTTTTTTTTTTTTTTTTTTTGGTATTTTTCGTTTTTATTGGTACCAGGAATCGAACTCACGACTGCCTGCTTGCAAGGCCGGTGCTTATGCCGCTAAGCTAAATCCCCAGCCCCAAAATGTGTGTATTCTTGATAAAATATACCAAGACCTATCTTTATTTACAGTCTGAAAATGCCTGCTTTATGATTGGAGCACTTTTACATATTATGTAACATGTTTATTGATATAGTTTGATTTTTACTTACCAGTCAATATCATTTTATTTTTTTATTCTAGTTTTGTTTCTCAGTTACTTTTTTTTTTTTTTTTTTTTGGTCTTTCTGTCTTTTTGAGACAGGGTCTTGCTATGCAGTTCAGGCTGACCTTACTCTCACTCCAGACTGGTCTCCAACTTGCAATGATCTTCCTGCCTCAGCCTCCTGAGTGGTGGCATTACAGATATGAACCACAATCTCCAGCTCTCTGTTATTATTTTTAATTGTTCTGCTTTGAAAATGTCTTGTATTTAATTTCAATTCCTCTTTAAATCTTTAACTGTACTCTGAGTAAATATCTATGTATTTCAATTAATATATTAAGAAAAATTTGACAATATAAAGCAAATCCTCTTCGTGGTTTTCATTAGATGTTTTAAGCCCCAATAAAAATGTATCATTTTTGTTTTAAATTATCTGTAGTTTTCAAAGTAATACAGAGTAGAATATCAACATATTTAACCTTTCTGCTACTCTGTAGTTCCTTTTGGAAATCTGAGTTTTCATCTAATATCACTTATCTGTAATTTAAAGAATGTACTTTCCTTTTCTTATAGAAAAAGTGGAGCCCCCAATTCTGCCAGCTTTTATTTATTCAAATACATCTTTATTTTGTTTCTTTTCTCTAACTTTGTTATTAAACACATATTGTGGATTTTGCTTAACATTTCCATTTTTTCTTTAAGCATTTTAAATATAGCTGATTTATTATATTTTAGTCTCAACTGTGTAAACTCACATTGATCTCTAATAACTTGTGGACTGTATATAAAGAGTTCATCTGGTTTATTTTATTACATAAAAATAATTAATCACAATTGCAAATACATTGATAAAAAGCTTTTAAAGGAAATCATGCAAATACTCTGTTGGAAATGTACTTCATTTATTGATCATGTATTATTTCAGCATGCTATACACTTTAATATCTACGAATGCTTACCACATCCTTATAAGAATACTAGTATTTTCCTGTATTTCTTTTATCTGTAGTATATGTAAATTAATAACACATACATTATATGGTCCCGATGAGAAATGAGTAAAATAATGTTTATAAAACATAACAAACTACTTGGCTCAAAGTAATTTCTCATCCAATGAAATGAATGAAAACTCTTTGTTATGTCCGTTTTACACACGCCAATTATGAGTCTGTTGCACCTGAATGTCAAGTCCACCTTAATAGCCATACTTTTGATACTAGTGCTGGACTAAGCAGACCACTGGTGCTCAATCTTTTTGGCACCAGAGTTGGTTTCACAGAAAATAATATTTTTCATAGGAAAGAATTGAGGGTAGTCTTGGGGTATTCAAATGCATTATATTTAATACACAGTTTTTCTATTAACAACAAATTGTAATAGATATAAAATAAAAATAATGCAATCCACCATAATGCAGAATCAGTGGGAACCCTCAGATTATTTTCCTGCAACTAAGTGTTTCATTTGGAGATGATGGGATATAATGACACCCAAAGCGTCTTGCTTATATCTAGCATATGCTGTCTTCTTGTTTTGGTTGCTGTGAATATCGAGAACCCTGATTCACAAAGATAGGATGCTGGAAATGTATGCAGGCATTTTGGTGTTTTTGAGATAAACTTGCAATATCCTGCACTGACATTAACCCAGAATGTATGCAGATTTAAGATTTTAGGCAAACTTTTCAGGCCTCTTTCATTTGTGATCTCAAGCAGATAATCCTCTTCCAGTATGAGATGAGTCTATTCATCAGGCTTGTTCACAAATGGGTTGTAGATCAATTCCTTCCCAATTCTGTTTTTTTTTTTTTTTTTTTTTGTGGTTAATAAGTAATGTTCAAATCCTTAAAAGCTGAGAATGGTTATTCGGAACCAACTGGGAGAAAGAAGGTTCTGACTCAGTCTATTTTAAATGCTCTGCTAATATTTGAAACATGTCAAACATCCATGGGCACCATCACCTCAATAATTCCGGGTGAATTTAAATGCAGTCACCTTATTTACCAATTTGGAACAATCATTGTTCTTCCCTGAAGTGATGGATTGAGTTCATTAGGCAAGCTGAGTATGTCATATGAGTAAGCAAGGTTTTTGTCCCATTCTGTGTTACTGAAATATCCTGCCACTGGTGACAATTTTTTTCCTAAAAGATGTCAGCGATGTCTTTCATAACTGAAAAGTTCAGCCAGTGATTTACCTTTAGAAAACTATCTCGCTTTTGTATATAAGAGATGACGTGTCCACTCATCACATCTTGAAACCACTTTTAAATTCCGGCAATGTTTCTTAGCTAGCCAGCATTTTTCTGGGGATGATACAGTGTGTAGACTCATTTCAGAAGCAACCTTGATCTGAGACCTGATGCTAGAAAGCAGACCAGGTAAGGCAGTTGCTCTATCCATGCATATTCCAACAAAGAATGCCCAATCCTCTTGTCCTTATCTGTATTTCTGAAAGGATTTGAGTGGCCCTGCACTATGACATCGGTTGGAAACAAAGTTTATATAACCTACCCTCAGTCTTATCCTCCTGAAAAAAAAATATAGCATACAAACAAGCACTGGTAACTTGTTCCCAACATTAGTAGATTCATTAACTTGGGTTATGTATCATGCTGACTTGTTAAACCTTTCTAAAAATTATGCATGGACACCCTTCAATTTTACGAAGTTATTACACCAGACTTAAGAGAAACACATGTAACCTTCTGAACAAAAACCTGTCCTGAAAGTTTATGCCAAATGTCCTGTATCAATGCTCCCCTATGCAACTTTTTTAAAACTAACTTTGACTATGATCAGTTTGTTTGATTACCAAAACGGTAACTGAAACAAGTGTACAGTGTGAGGAAAAGGTGACCACAGAAGTGATAAATAATAGGAGAGCTATAAATGGACAAAATGGGTGTTACATTTTTGCTTAAAGACCGCCGCCACATGCAGCTTGTCACTTGCCACCATGTTTCGATGGATCTGCATACAACACATTTTCTGTGGCCTCTGTGACATCAAACCTCTCTGTTGCTCTTCAAGTGTATTTGGGGCCATTCTCCAGGGCTACCATCATTGGCTCTGCACCACATTAGGTCATCAGGCATTAAATGATCACCCTGAGCAGGTGAGCGCACAATCTAGGTCCCTCACACATGCACTTCATGCTAGGGTTCTAAGACCTGTGAGAGTCAAATGCTGGCAGCAAGAGGGTTAGATTTTAACACAGTCATGAAGACTGGCGGTCAGTGAAGACGAAGGTTCCTTGCTCACTTTGCACACAATACTTCTTACTGCTCTGTTTTGCAAGGGCACAGACAATACACTGTGTTTGTTTATGGCTGGACATTGGAAAACCCTGTGGTCTTCATTTCTTCTCAGCTGTCTCAGTGTTAGGCTCTATCCAAAAAGAGGGCAACATTTTTTTTTTTTTTTTTAAATTTTGGTGTGGCATCAACAGAGAGAGTATTTGGAGACTTAACATCACCTGCTTTACATTCCCTCACAGCCTAGCTCTGGCCCATCCTATTAACGAAACTTATTTGCTGCTAATAACCATCACTCCCGTGGGGCCACACTATCTCTGAGAGGTCTGAGTCTAGCCTTGGAGAAAGAAGTTCTGGTTACGTTCTAGTTCTTTATTGCTCTCTTTCCTTTAACTTTAGAGGTATT